CTGAAATGTATTGTATTTGTTTTTTCTGAAAGGAATAGAAGCTGTTCCTTAGTGTGCATACAATTTTTCTCAACGTTTAGAATTTAGATGTGTGTGTTGTTTTATCATACAATATAAATGCATGCCATTTGCTGTGAAGATACAATAGTTGTTTGCTTATTAGAAAGAAAAGCTTAATTACACAGTGAAAATGCATCTCGTATATATAGAAATACTAGTGTTATGTAATATAAAGCCAAAAAGATAAAAAGATAACTGAAACGAGATAATTGATTAAAATATCTTGAGTGTTAAAATAATCAGTTTTGAAGTATCAGTTAAAATCAGAATTAAGGTAAGGATCTGTAAAGACTTTTCAATTTAATGAGTTTTTTTTTCAGAGGAAATGTCAAGTGTTTTAATTGAAATCGAAAGCTAACATGTAGCTTACAATTTACATTAATTTAGTACATTCAAATGATTCAAAAGAAAACTTGAATGAGATTGTTTGAATTATGAATATGTTGACAGCTAAGTTTATTGAATTTTGCATTTTTAAAATGAATTTGAATTTCGACTAATATCAATATTATTATAGTATATACGAATATATGAAAACAGTAAATATTTTAGAAACAATCTGTAATTGAAGAGTATTAAAAGAAAATTAAATTACTTTGTTGGCGAATAAAACGAAACGTTGATTATATAAACCCTTAATATAATCCTAAAAATACATGTGTATACAAGACATATAAGATTAACTTACAATTGGCCAATCACTTATGTCGGTGAATATAGCCCATTCTTTACTTCAAATTCGTTTAGTGTGGCAGACAGACTGTCGGCGTCGTTTAGTTTGCATGCACCTTTATAATAATCCAAACTTTTACACGCTGATAATGTAAAACATTCACGAGCACATTCATGATGGTGATTTACAGACAGTTCCATAATTGTGTGTCCCGTAAGATGTTTATTTAAATGTTCCTTCTTGATTTGAACATTTGCAAATGCACAAGACAACGGAATAAGCAGTAGAACCAAATACATTTTAAAATATCTATATTTTAAAACTTTGTATCGTTGAAGAATCTGAAATTAATTTTACTGAAACGTAGTCAGTTATTTTTTCTTAATTAGTTCATGATTTCGAAATACATTTATATTGTCGAAGTTAAGAAACTATAAATGCGAACACTACAAGTATAATGATTTCTCGAACGTCATAATTCTCATTTAGTTCTCTGTATCCATTTCGTTTAGCATCATCATTTGATTATATGCACCTTACCAAGTTTCACATATATTTTGTGAGGACAGATTTCGTAATGAAGGCAATCAAGGTTCACTTAATCCCTCTTTCAAATAAAAAAAAGCTTTCACGATCGGCGATGTGTTATCATAATCATAATTGACTATTTTACATCAAGAAAAAATATGCTCTATGATGCTGTTTTTCAGATCATAATAAATGATGCCTTTTACTTTTAATGATGGTAGGCTGTACATTTATGTCTAAGTGACATACAAACATAAAAAATAAACGATTTGTTGTAAGATAAACTATTCCGTCTACCTTGACGTATTTAATCTGTATTTCCCATCATAATTACCCACGTGTATTCCCCTTACAGGCTTAATTGATCACATGGGTACAAGGTTTAAAACGTAATAAAAAAAGATCTGACACAATTTCCGTTTATATTTAATATTTCATCGTTTTCCTCTATTTATGAAAAGTGGTCAAAATATGTTTTGTACTAATAGAAATGTCAGATGACGTCGACAAAATTCCCCACAGATTCAACTGCTACTAATGACATGTTTTATATTCACTTACAAAATTATTGTAAATGCTCATCTGATACCTAAAGAATTCCTCGATTCCAATGGCACAGTTCTGAAAAATTTATACTTCTTTCAATTATGTTTGAAACTATAATCTGTTTGCACCAAGATTAATCTGTTTTCAAATACATTTAATGAATTGTGAAATTATTTCTCGACAAGATTTTTGGGTGCCTATTTAATTTCGCATTGGGAATCAATTAAAGTCGTGAAAAATAGATCTCATATGTATTCATTAATGTTAGGAGATAACATATATAAAAAGCACACAGTGGCGCAACTTTGTTTTTGGTATGCTGAAATCATTTTGAAACAGACCAAAATGAAAAAGCAAGGTATCAAATATCTTAAATGAAGTGCACGAGCACTATGAGCATTTTTATGTCTTGGGTGAACGTTTGGCTTTATTCACATCATCCATTTAAAAATACCAATATAATATAGTCATAATTAGTTTGTAATAAAACAATTCAGATTTAACTAGACTTCAAAGGTATGAGTTCAAGCGACGTATCAGTTTGTAATAAAACAAATCAGCTTTAACTAGACTTCAAAGGTATGCGTTCAAGCGAGTTATTAGTTTGTAATAAACTAGTTCAGGTTTAACTAGACTTCAACGGTATGCGTTCAAGCGAGTTTACGAGTATTACGTGCCTGAATACTTAAGTTAAATATTCTTTTTACAATTAACTCTGTATAAAAGTTGAAAAAAAGAAAAAAGAGATTTTTATTGCAGTGGAATCTCTGGGTAATTTCATAAACTCACTTAATGACTGACCCTTTTAAAAGTAAATTAGCCTACTAAAGCCAATGTTTTGTTTATTGAACATAACAATAAAAAGTCACACAGGACAAATACTTCATTAACATTTTATAAAGACTTTAAAACAAATATTCTACAATAGGTTAATTAATTCCAGATTCGTGCATATTTTCGATACTTTCACTTTCCCGATAATGCATTTTGAACCAGAAAAGGGATATCGTCATATTATAATATATACCTGTCAATACTCATGTCTTTTCTTAACTCAAACGTTTCAAATACAAAAGTAAATTTATTTATGAAATACACGAAGAGTAGGTTAGAATTACAAAAAAAACGGACTTGAAACTAGAAAAGTACTTTACAAATGCAATGATTTTGTGGCTTACAATCTTTCTTTTTTTTTAAAAATCACCAATGTATCCGTCTTAACTATTTTCACCCTTCCATCTACCGTGTCTTTTTCAGCAACGGTCATTTATGCCAGCGTTTCCGGTTGTAGTTGCAACTAGTAGTGAATAAAAACCTATTGTCAAATCTTACACGACATCTTTTAAACGCAAAATAAGACATTATCGCGTGTAACTGAGAGGCTAATCTTTGATAATAAGTCAACAAATGTTTTTAACTGCTAACATTACTGAAATAAAATTGTACCATCTATTACAGATAAACTTGCAACATGCATGTGACGTTGTTACATTAAATATGGACAAGCTACAGGCTCGCCTAAAGAAATAAAGTTACGGTCTCCATTGGTATTGGTCAGTTTGTCTTTTTCTTATGCGAATAGAAATATGTGAATCATGAAAATGAACATCATTACACTTAAGGTTAATAAATACATCAAACCTTTAAAAAAACCAGCAAACGCTATTAGAACCATTGCTAAATCACGTAAAACAAGAATATCGTCACTTTGAATGTATTTATCACACAACAATATTAAATTGTCATTTGTTACAATATCCTTCTTTGTCTTAGGTTTTGTCAACAGTTCAAGCAAATTTTTCACAAACAAGTTATCAGTAGGATCGTGTAAATTTCTCAAAAACATGAGCCCACTTTAACCTTTATACAGCATTTGAAAAGATAGAACTAGAATCATGATCGTTTGTCAATTAATTCCGTGTGATACAAGGCAATATGAACACATAAAAGTAATATCATATATTGTTTATTAAAATGATTACATAATGCCAGAATGAAAGATATCGGTCAGTATATTTCAATGAAAGTGAGTGGAGCATACGTAAAATATTGACTAAAACTGTTAAAATTAGCATGTTGAACAATTTAATCTGTTTATGTACAATATTCTTGTACATTAAATTACATATTCCATAGACATTCGATGGTACAGCTATTTCAAACAAGATGGTAATGAAAACAACCTAATTTTATAGTTTTTTGAAGTTTTATAAAATCTTTTATCAGATATAGCTTCCTTCAAAATCAGATGTAACAAAAAAACAATAATTTATCTAATGTAATAAACACGAGTAAAATCAATTAAAATGTGATATTTGACATATTTTTGGAAAACTCTCCTGCTTAACGCTTTTACAATCGAATAAAAACTTGAAAAGTCTTTATGACATTCATCTAAACTCAGGTACCTGCTTGTGATATTTACTTATCAAAACTTGCACACACAAAAATCCAGGAACATGCTCGGAATAATATAAAACATGAAACCAATTCCATGTCATATATTTACGAGTGAACACAAAATAATGTATAATTGCATTTTCATTTGAATAAGATTCATCTAAAATTGCTATAAAGGTCCTTTTTTAACGATGGTCTGTACTTCAGGTTAATTGAAGATAATTGGCTTTCATTAATTTCTAATGTTTTCTTAACAATTGACATCGGTGCTGCAGGTTATTGACAGAACAAAATATTGACGCTTTTAATGGAACCATATATTTTGACATTATGAATGATTAATGATTCAAGGGAATTTTAAAAGGTATTTCAAACATATTCAAAAAGTAAATGAATATTCATTATATCTAATTAGCCACTTTAAAATATGAATGAATAATATAATAGTTGATTTGCCTTATCTTATGTAGTATATCACGTATATATTCTGAAGAGTAAAGACACACTATACAAATATGAACACATATTGGCTAATGAGAAAAAACTATATTCAAATAGTGAACATAAACAATTTCATGAAATCAAACGAAATTGAGTGCATTTATCTCTTCATTTCATTAAGACACTCGTGGGTAGATTTTACGAAAAAGAGCTGCATAAAACAAGGCTCAATTTTTTTTATTTTTAATTCTAATAGAAATATTTAAAATCAAAATTTGTTCACAAAAGAACTTGTTGAAGACCACTATTGCCTCCTTTCACAAAATAGCTTCAGTGACCGCAAGTGATGAAAATGGAAACTTTTTCTGACAAAGAAATTCCAAAATTAAGTTTTGGACAGAAAGTAACATATTTGGTTATAGTATTGCTACCATGTGCGTTTGCCAATGATTGCTCAAAACCGTTCCAAATAAAGGCGGAATACTTGAATAAACGTTTAAATGGACATACCATCGTAGAGTTAGAGGTTCAGAATCAACACATGTGTGCTCGTGAATGTATTTCTATATCTATGTGTAAAAGTATGGACTATTTTCATGGTACGTGTCAACTTAATAACGCTGATAGCAATATGTCTTGCTCGAAGACTTCGAGAACAAGCTAGGTGCGATCTTCTCTGATATATCTGACTGGCAATCTGTAAGTACATGTTTTGTCTCGAAGTCTACTTCAACAGCGGAACTCCACATGATTAGCTAAACAGTTTTCTACAATAAATTTTCAAGTGCTAATCTGTTCTCAAATATGATAAACAATAAATAAGTAATTCCAAATCATGACAGTCACATTTGTTATTGCCTCTGCCTATTACCTCTAAGTGACAAATGATCTTAGACTTAAATATAATGGTATTTGTTAAGTAAATATGAGGGATTAGGATTCGATCACATGTGGAAACATTTGTAATAATTTGTTAGTTATCCAAAATAGCCGGTTCGGTTGCCTGACTGCCAAGATATGACCATTGTCTTAAAACAGGCATAAAAATAACCAAACAAGCAAGTATATATCATTTCCGATATGTATCACAATAACTGCAACATGTTTCCCATTTGTGACAGCAAAATCTAACGGAATACAAGTTATCATATGTAAACAACGTATTACATTTTAACTATCTCCTAATGGTCTCTCCTGTTCCGATAAGTTTATACTCACAACAGAGGCTAAATAACAACGCCATTTGGACACACTGCTGATGTCTCTAAATTGAATACGTTTTCATGTTTCAATTTTGAATGATGCTAAAGCCGGTGCTCCAATAAGTTAAGCATACAGCAATTTCGCCGTTTTAGCCTTCTTTACGGCTACCATTTTACTTTGTGTGCCAGCTGTTCGTACTTTTCTTTTCAATTCCGTCTAGATGATTGATTTCGAAATATTTAAAAAGAAAAGTGAATCCAGCTAATTAAGCCAGTCTACTCCATGAGAGATAATGTTTTTCTATAGTTTTTCATGAAGAGATTCCAAATTTTAAATTTTGATGTACATGTATATATTTATTTTTCGTTGCTTTTAAGAGATTTCATCTATTTAGATTTGTTATGCTGCTACTTAATGTACAGACTCAATCAAACCGGGTCTGCAATTTTCATGTAATTTTGTTGTGATTAATGCTTCTTTCTTCAGATCGTTAACTTTATAATTTAATACTATTTAATATTTAATACTATTATAATGATGGGTGATGCTCAATTTATTTTACCTTTGTTTTCAGAATATTATATATGCAAACAATATGATATGTAAAGAGAAATATATAAGTACATTTCTATATTGTTACAGTTGATTGCGCGGGCGTGTGGTCAGCGACCATGTTCAGAGATACAAAAATGTATTCCCTTCAACGGCGGCTACAATTGCGAGGAAACAAGTTTTTGTAAGTCACATTTCACCTAGATTTAAATGATGATGTGAAATATATGGTAAACTTGACAATGTCTGAAGACTTATCAAAACACACTAATTATGAGATGATGCAGTGATAACTTATTTTTATTTTATTTAAAAAAAAACCTTTAGCTGATATGTTGTCCTATAAAAATTATAAGATATATACCAGTGAAGTGCTGATGTTGTTTCAAAATTCAAAAATTTACCAGTTCATGTTAAATGTTGAATTATGCTTAAGACGTGCTAGGCGGGCATGGACGGTAGCTTGCACTTTCCAGTACTGTCCGTCAACAGGCCCAATCAAACCGAGGCTTCAACATCTTTCACTTTTGCCGTGTTTGGCTTTTTAAATATTTTAAGGGGTAAAATCATACACATATGTCATTTCACATGCATTTTAATTGGGTAAATAAATAAAGGGTAAAGTCCAAACATAATTTCTACACAATAGTCTATGCCACATATAAACTATTGACAAATTTTAACGAAGGGTCAACACCAATCACATTGTCAATATTTCTTCTCTAAGCCTGATGTATGCAGAAAGTTAGATAACTTAAATAACTTTAAATGGGATTATTATTAATATCTTTAATAATATCAGTTTAAAAAATATATGATAAGCACAATATTCTTTTGAAAATAATGGTCACAAATTTCGTTTATAAAGTTATGCCAACGGACTCTACTGGTGTACAGCTTCCCTACTGCGATCAGCGGGCAACATAAAATAAAACTATGGAAATCACGTGGCATATTGACAGATGTCTGTGAGAAGGACACGGAAGGTGGTGGATGGACGGTAAGAATTATCTAAAAAGAGGATGAATATATATTTGATGTATGCAGCTGTAAAAAAATAGCCTGTACTTCATCTCAGTGTTATTATATTTTTCTGGTCTTTTAGGATTATTGATTCCAGTCCTTGATTGTATTGAAAACTGCTTAAAATGGTGTTGTTGTTTTTTAGCATGAGAGATGTTGCACCTTTCATTTCCTCTGATAAACAGACTCAATAAAATAGAGTGTTTGCAGTCTGCGCTGGAGAAATCCGCCTTTGGTTTTTACATTAAGAGCCGACAATAAGACGTAAGGTGGCAAAATAAACGCTGACTTGTTGTGACTTTTTAAAGGTACTTCAGAAAAGATTCGATGGTTCTGAAGACTTTTACAGAAACTCAACGGAGTATGAATATGGATTTTGCAATTTGAATACAGAGTTTTGGCTAGGTAAGGTGGTTGATTTCTGAATGGTGCTGTACTGGGTGCCTTTCCAATAGTCTTATGTGGCTAAATTTAAGATGGGACTGCTCTGTGAAATACTTACTCCTGTTGATCTTTATACGCATATCTTTTTTTATTTTCATAATGAGCGTATTACTCTCCTGCGCATCAGTCGAATGTTCCCCAACAGTCCATATGTTTGTAGTAACGGTAGTGTTTTCAATAAGCGGTTAAGAGAGCGTATGAACGTATATGTCATACGGAGTTTAAACGGGTCATTTAACATTTTCAGTTTTGTTAAAGCCATTTAAAAGGGTCAATATTTCACTTTTTGAATATTCATGTCTTAATCATCTTCACAATGCAGATAAAACAGTCAAACTGGTAATTACTGAATTATGAATACTGATATTTACATTTAAGGTCTTAAGGATTTACAAGAAATGACGTCTCAAGGAAAGAATGAATTAAGGTTTGACTTAACGGCCGCTGATGGAACTACCGTGCATGAAACATTCCCAAACTTTAACATTGACGCTGGTCCAGAGTACACCATTCATTTCGATCCTGGATTTGGTACAGCGGGTAAGATTTTTTTGGAATTTCCTAGGTTGATGCATGTTAAATGTTCATATTTATAAGAATTATATAGAAAAGGCGTTACTGAGTAGTTAATACTGATCAAAATTTAAAATTGTGTGTACTTCCTTTAGTTTATTTGATTGAAAAAAACATTCATTATCCGGTCTAACACAAACAGCCTAAGTAATTTATCCAACTGATTTTCTGAACGTTACTGTTTTCAAAACCTTTTTTATGTACTGATCTTTAAATGAATACATAAGAAGTATTAATTCACATCGAATGAGCTGTTCTCCACTATGATTGTCATTTAGATTAATTTCACATACATGCTATATATCATTCCATGAAATATTAACTATCACGTGATGTCTGTATTTTACTTTTTTGTGTATATCTACTAATTTTCTTAAAGAAAAAAAACAACAAACAAACAACAAAAAACGAACCTTTGGTACCGATATCTGATATCTTAAAATAATCTTAAATGAAAACTTTTTGGGTCACGTCATTTATATGAATGTCGGATGCAAAAACTAATGGATTGGATTATGATTCGTCGGATATAGATTCAAAGCTTTTATCACGATTGTATAATCACGTAATAATTATGTCTGTTTCTTTTAACCTATAGGTGATGGGTATTCCAACTTCGGTATGTCATACCACAATGGTATGCATTTTACGACAAAAGACGAAGATAGAGCTAACTACATCAAGAACTGCGCCATTCTTTGTCACGGTGCTTGGTGGTATAACGCTTGTGGCGGCGTGAACCTCAACGGACAGTACGTTACTCCAGGGATAGTTCATCCCCTTGGTTATTGGCGTGGGGTGATTTATTTTCCGTTCAATGAACTATCTCTAAAGGAAACTAAAATAATGTTCCGGCGAGTTATTTACAAATGATATTGGACAGAAATTAATAAACGGCAACCAGTTAACATGTACAATCATTCTTTTGTGCGTTAATGAAATAAATAGTTTAATTCTATTTAAGCAAAAGATCAAAATTTGAGTGTTATAGATGTTGTAGACATGTTTAAGACTGTAGATGTTTTATTGCTTCGAAACTCTCGAAATCAGCAAGGGTTCATTTTGCCATCTGGTAAAAATTTAGCTTAAAGGCCCATTATGCCTCAGATTATGATTTTATATTTAGTTCTCATAGGCTTTTTAATTTTGGTGTACTTTTAAAGTATCCAACAAGGAATTGATTGGCCAATAAACAGAAACATCTTTTTCATCTGTTGTTTTTTTCTTACAAGAAGTACAGTTATAGTGAATTAGTGTTTTGTATGGAATACTTAGTTTACATTTTGCTCCTTTTATGACAAATTAGTTCACATTTATCGCTACATTGTCAGGTAACAAGTGTTACGAGCCAGGCGTAACGAGAAAAGAAAAGCCAGCAACAAACTTGTAATAATAACAAATTTATTACAGAAAAAATTATTAAAGAAAATTAACAAATTATGTGTACAAATACCTGAAATCCAAAATAAAAATGTAAAAATTTAATGTCTAGTCTGATCCTGGAATGATCCCTTTTTGAATAGCACAGTTAAATCCAAATTAAATCCAAGAACACTTTAGAATAAATTCCCACAATAAAATCCACAAGAATAATTTTAACTATTTTAAAATAATCCAAGCTCCAATAAAATCACTTAATATCCAAGTTGAAAAATACTCCAAATATATTGATGACTTAAAAGATCACTGATGACTTAAAAAGGTATAAGAAATGAAAAAATATCCCGTAATATATATAAACAAGGAACATTCTAGAAAAGTCTATTATGTTCTAGAGTAATCATAATCTAGCACTTTCAACAATAAAGAACATTCCGGAAGTTTCTAACTAAATATAATGCATGAGTTTTCTACAACAGTTAAGAAAGTTCTAGTACATACATGTAGTTTATGTTCTAAAAATAGAACAATGATAATATTGGAAATACCAACTGGTCAGATACAAACTATATACATGTAATATGTTGCATACATAACACTTCCCCTCTTCAAGAAAAAGAAATATGAATGAAATGAATATTTCTTTTACATAAATCCAAACAATATAACTTACAAATAACGTAGGAGAAATGTTAAACAATTTTATACGTAAAATCATATATATATATATGTGTATTATAAACAATAGCAAACAACGAAGTAAAAATAAACAATCATATGATGTAGATGTTAAATGTAAATACTGAAAATATCAGTTTTAGACACGTGAAAGTGCATCAGGGATCAAATTATCTTTCCCTTTAATGTGTCTAATGTCAAGACTATATTCTTGCAAAAACAAACTCCACCTCAACAACCTTTGATTTTTGTTTTTAAGTTTATGCAAGAAAGTGAGGGGATTGTGATCACTAAAGACAACAACAGGCAACTTTGAAGAAGTTAGATAAACTTCAAAATGCTGAATAGCAAGAATAAGAGCAAGACACTCTTTCTCTATTGTAGAGTAATTTTTCTGATGTTCATTAAACTTTTTAGAAAAGTAACAAACGGGATTGGTCAACTCCATTGTTGTCTTCTTGGATCAATACACTTCCAGCACCTATGTCACTAGCATATACAGCTAACTTAAAGTTTTTTTAAAATCTGGTGCCAAGAGAACTGGTGCACTCTTAAGTATGGCTTTAAGGCTGTCAAATGCCATTTGACACTTGTCATTCCAAATGAAATTTGTTTCTTTTCTTAAGTAAATTTGTCAATGGTTCTGCAAATAACCGAAAAATTATTACAAAATTTACGATAATACCCTGCCATACCAAGAAAACGCATCAGTTGTCTTTTACAAGTAGGCACAGGAAATTCAGAGATAGCTTTGACCTTAGCTTCTATTGGTTTAACTTTACCCTGTCCCACTACATGTCTTAAAAATGTTAAAAATTGCATGACAAAATTCACTTTTTGCAAGATTGAACTGTCCAAATTTTAGCATCACTAAAGTCGGTCGAAGAATGCTCTTATAGTTTTGAGATGTTTTCCTCCCATTCATCAGAGTAGATGATTTGCCGTCATACAATGTATGGCGTCAACATCCGTGTAGACCAGGATATTAAAACCATGTTTATAAGTTTCTGAAAAGGGTTTGCGGTGTGAGTTTTTCAAAATACCAAGGGCATGAACTTTTTTATATTGATAATGAGAGGGCCGTCCCTGGTTTGTTACAAAGGCTGATATTTCTTTAAAGCTCTATCAGTAAGTTGGAACTTGCCAAGAATCCTTGTTTTAGAAGATCCAAAAACTTTGTTACATACTTTTGGCTTTTCCAATTTTTTGTCAATAAGTCATCAATTTTTGGGTATGGGAAATGAAGTCAGTTTTTGGGTTAAAGAGTTCACTTTACGATAATCTGTACACATTCTATATGTTCCATTTGATTTCGGTACCAGAATACATGGAGAGCTGTAACTGCTTTGACTTGGTTCAATAAAGTCATTATCCAATAAATACTGAACTTCTTTGTCTTAGGTACTTTTGTTTTACAGGATTTGTTCTATATGGATGTTGTTTTATTGGTTCAGAGTTTTCAAAGAATGACGTCATGATGTATTTTATCAGTTTGTGTGGGAATATCAGGAAATAAGTGTTATTTTCTTTGAATTCCTAATCAGTTACAAATTATTTATCATTTAGTGATTAACCTGTCTTTGCCCTGTCCTTTTTATGTTTGGGGTCCGCCTGGGCTCCTTCCCATTGGTTCTTGTTGCTGGGTCATATGGGGGTTGCGTTCATTGAACGCCGCCTTTCCTTGTTGATCTTGTTTAACATATTTCATATTCATAAATAAGCTGTTTCAGTTCATCTCGTTTCGACGGTTCTAAGTGAGCAAGTTTTTCATCCAGATTTTTCAGAATATCAGAGTTTTTCAAAGCTTTGCTGAACCAGGATCAGACTTTTCAAAATTTTCATAACTATTAGATTCAACTGAACATTGATTTTGTGGAACAGAGTTTACAAAAGATATAGGTTTACTAATTTTGCTATCTCTATCAAAATATTCTTTTAAACATATTTATGTGACACATTTGTTTTTGCTTTCGCCTCCCAGGAGTATTAATAATATAATTAAGGTCACTGATTTTCTTTTCAATAGTATAAGGACCAAAGTATTCTTGCCTGTAATGGTTTTTCCAGGTTATAGGTAAAGAAGCAGTTTTTCTAATCAAACCAGGGTTTTAAAAATAGGATAAACAAGATCAACAAGGAAAGTTTGGCGTTCAATGAACGCAACCACATACCCAATTGAACCCAGCAACAAAGAAAAGCAATGGCAAAAGGAGCCCAGGCGGACCCCAAACCAAAAACAGGGACAAGGGCAAAGACAGAGCAACGGAAACAAGGTTTTAATCATTAAAATGATAAAATAATTTGTAACTGATTTAGGAAATTCAAAGAAAAATAATAATGGCCCCCACCAAAAGGGGGAAGGGGACAGGAAGACCGGGGGAAGGGGGGTTTTTAATCAAAGAAAAATAAAAACTTAGAGGCAATGGGGGGAGATACTTACCGTAGACGAGAAAACAACAAGGGGACACACAAGAAAAAGTGTCACCAAAACAGTATGAAACAACATAGACATACATCTGAGGAACACAGTGGGGCGCCGCCTTGGAACGGTCAGCAGCATAAAATTACTGCTGGGGAGTTTAAACCGGTTAATGGTGCACCAAACCTCGCTCTTAGCCACACCATGTTCCTTTATACGAGACAGTGTAAATAAAATGAATCCCCGCCAAGTGAAATTCTAACAGTTGTCATGGTTACAAAAGGTTAAATAAGTAAAACGCTAAAATGATCATGTAGAAACATATAAAAGTAAACCCAATGACCATAAACAAAAGTACTCAATGTCCTAAAGGAAGACAGAGCAACAAGAAAATCACCTACAAGGGCCCGACGAGAAGCAAGGCAGAAGACGAAACATTTAAACACAATTCCAGTGCCCAGAGGGGTTTTACGAACTATCCATCATAGAGTTCCCACTTTGGTCCGTTCAAGATGTAAATCAAAAGATGAAAGCGTAATGTCCAATTGTAAAAGGGTTTGAACCCACTTTTAAACCATGCAATATGTTCTTTTAAAATAGTAGGGTCATAACCTCCTTTTTTAATAAAAACGTTTTTTAATGATTTAAGCAAAAACAGCAAAAAAATTACCATGGACCCAAAATTTACGAAAGTTTTGCTAAAATCAACATTGCCTAAAAACCAGGCTGGCTAAATCCCTTGTCGCAGAAAGGTTTTTAAATCACTATTGAATTTAGAAATTTAAATTAAAGTTACGATTGTTAAAAAAATTTAGTAAAAATTTTTCCCGTAATTTATAATTAGCGGTAAAGACCCTTGTTTTAGAAGCTTGCTGGTAATAAAAAATTATTCCGCTCGTTTGAAATTCTTTACGTTGCTACAAGCTCTCTAGCGAATCTAATTAACTGAGAAACATAAACCCCGTAAAAAACATCTTTCCTGAGCATTTTCATCATACCTTTATTTTTCATTTTACTTTGTGTTGATTTTTAAATTGAGCCCTAGCTAACTCACAATGCATTAGTCAACCTATTTCGAAATACTGAAGCAAATTTTAAAGATATGTCATCTTCAGACAGAAATTTCTCTTTTAGAAGTTTTAAGGGTCCTCTGACAAGGGCCAAAATAATCA